ATAGTTTTGGATGGATTATAAATAATGAGATAAGTGAGTTAGGAATAAATCATTATTTAATTAGTCCTGTGATGTGTATTCCAAATACTCCACCTTGGGTAAGTGGAAAACCTGAAGTTGATTTAAACTTATTGGGAAAAGGCAGACAAATAGAAAAAAAAGAGGTGGAAAAGTATATAAATAAAGAATATGCTGAATATTTACAAGTATTTACAGATGCTTCTAAAATGTTAAATGATAAAATTGGAATAGCATTTATAATTCCGGACTTAAACATTATGAAAAATAAAAGAATAACAGATAGAATGACAGTTTATACAGGTGAGCTAGTGGCTATATTAATGGCTCTAGAGTGGTGTGAGGAAACAAGGAAGAAGGAAATATTGATTTGTTCAGATTCAAGCAGTGCATTAATAAGTATTTTAGAACAAAATTAAGAATCGAGACAAGATATAATATTGAATATTAATCAATCAATTTTTAAAATTAAAAAATATGGATCTAGGGTTAAGTTAATTTGGATTCCTGCCCATATTGGGATAGTAGGAAATGAATTGGCGGATCAATTTGCTAAGAGGGCAGCAAAAAGGGATAATGGTGAGGTAAATATCAAAATAAGCAGAAATGAGGTCAAGAATATTAGTAAAATATATTTTAAAAAGAAATGGCAGGAATTATGGGATAGAGAAGAAAAGGCAAGATTTTACTATAGCGTTCAAAGAAAAGTAGGGGAATGTAGGGAAGGTAATAGGAATAGAAAAGAAGAGGATATTATATCCAGATTAAGGTTTGGGCATAAGGGGCTAAATAGTACTTTCAAAATAATTAATAAACATAGTACAGGGTTGTGTAATTATTGTGAAGAGTCAGAAACAGTGCAGCATATTTTTCTAGATTGTGATAAGTGCAATCGAGAAAGAGAGATATTAGTCAGAGAGTTAAATAGAAATACAGTAATTTTAGATATTAAAAATCTGCTGCAAAGGTCCTCTGAAGATGTAATATTTAACAGCATTTTCAGTTATCTTAGGAAGTCAGGTTTGATGGGAAGATTATAGTGATAGGACATCTAATCTATACTCCAGTCTGGAAGGTGGCGGTAATGCACCTATAAGTTGTTTGCCAACCGCCAAAAAACCTAAAAGAAGAAGAAGAAGAAGAAGAAGAAAGCAGAGGCGTTCGCTTGAGTTACAGGTATTTCTGTTCAGTTGTTGCTCTGCTTCTGTGTTGTCATCCTG